CTTTAAGGAAGACAGACTATTTCATGACTTCCAACTTAGAAAGTTTAGATTCTCAAATTGGGGTTGTGAGCTTGAGCCTTTCAACAGCTGCACTAGATTTTCAGCCTTAGTCTCACTATTTTTAACAAAAGTACAAACAGCTTGTGTGACAAACTCTAGTGAGGATGGCAAGCCTGTGCAATATAATCCACAGAACTATGAAACATTTCTCACTCCCCCTTCCCTAGAAGAGCTTAATCTACATAGCAAGTTCCAGGACAGCTGGGGTGACAGGGGAAACTTGCCTCAAAAACCAATATACATATATGTATATATATATATATATATATATATGTTACAAACTAAATATGTATATATATGTGTGTATATTATATATGTATATATAGGTTATAAACTAAATATGTGTATTTATATGTATATATTGTATATGTATATATAGTTTATACATAAACAAGATATAATCCACATAGAAAGGACACCACCGGAGTTTCAGTCTGCAGAAAGACATTCAGTGGAGCCTGAGTCAGTCCTGGATCATGAAATGAGGAGGAAGGAGAGAAGAAGAGCAAAAGAAGAGGAAATGGGATGGAGGGAAAAGAGAAGAAAGAAAATGATGTATCTCTGCTTTGAAAATAGCATTGACATCTCTCCTAAAGCACTTTCCCTGAATTTATTCTTCCTCTTTACTGTGTGGATTTATTATCTAATTTCTTAGTCATCCACCATTATTTATGTGAATGTATAACGAGGACTCCAGGCTCTCAGGAAATAAGGCCAACAATTGACAAATAGGACCTCATGAAATTAAAAGATTCCTGTACACTTTTCTTTACAGATAAATATACCACTTACCATGATTAAAGGAAGCTTTTCTTTGCAACAGATGGAGAATGTTACAGAGTTACACAACTGGTCACACAAACAGAGTAAGTGTCTGTAATTCCCAGCCCCAAGTGACACATCTACAGTGGAACCTCTATACCTAAGGCTCACAGAACATAATAAAACAGGGGGTAGAGAGAATGCTAATGCATCTCTCAACTCTCACTAGAGAAACTTCCTCATGCAACAGAGGGTGGTGCACACAAAATTCCACAAAAGACCAAAGTATAAAGAATGAGAGACTTCAGAGTGTGTGTTCCGGGATAGGACTCCTATATCAAATCTCACCTGTCCATGATTCAGGAACTATTGCAGAAGAGGGGTCAGAAAGACTGTAAAAGACAAGATTGGTGCATAATCATAAGGAAACCATCCTCTAGGCCTCTGGGAACTTGTTCATATGAACTTACAGCAACAGTGACAGCATGCACAAGACCCATGCAAACTTAATCAGAAAAAAAATCCATCATAGAATGAGACAATGAGCAGCAAACCCCAATATTAGCTGAGGAACTACTGACAGCTACTACTGCTGGGGAAGGAGAATAGATATTCTTTAAGGAGCGATTCTAGATAGGCTAACTGAACTCCAGTGGATGAACTTGCACCGAGGGACATCTGTGTACACAAACTTGAATCAATAGGCCTTAACATATATGACAGAATGAATGAAATCTGGTGGGGGATCTATAAGAGAGTGCAGATAGAGGAGGGTATCTAAATATTATTAATATGTATTGTATGAAATACACAAACATTCAATAAAAATAAACATCAACTCAATCAATCAGAGACTTCTGTACAGAAAAGAAAACCATTTATCAGGTCAAGAGACAGCCTAGAAAATGGGAGAAAAATATTTACTAGCTATATATATTTATATATCACATAGAACTAATGCCTAGAATATACAAAGAACAAAAAAATAACTCTTAAATGGCAAAGACATAAAATAGCATAATCAATAAATGGGTTAATAAAATTAACAGATCATTCTCCAAGATGGAACACAAATAGACATTAAATAAATGAAAATAAGATTCAACTTCACAACCATCAGAAAAACACAAATTACAAACTATATTGAGATTCCATTTCACCCCAGTCATACTGGCAGTCCTTAATAAAATAACAAACAACGATAAATATTGGCAAGTATGTGGACAGAATAAATGCTTTACGTACTATTGATAGAAATGTGTACTACACCAACCACTATGAAAAGGGAAATTTCTCAAAAAAATTAGCAATAGGTCTACCATATGAGCCACTTATACCACTCTTGGGTAGTTACCAAAAAAAAAATCCAAGTCAACACATCACAGATATTTTCACATCAGTGTTTATGGCAGTGCTGTTCACAATAACTGAATTATTAACCCAAGCTATGTGTCTAACAACAGAGCAATGGATAAGGAAACCGTGATATGGACACAGAATATACTTTTTCAACCATAAAACATTCCTACCATTTGCAGGACATATAAGTGAGATAATCATATTAAGTGAACTATGACATTCTGAGAAAGACAAATAGTGTGTGGTTTCTTTCATTTGTGATTCCCAGATTGCATATAAATGCATGAAATCATGTATGAATATATGACATGAAAGTACAAGTAAAGCTGTCTGAGGGCAAAAGTGGACTTGCAGCAGGGAGAAGGGGAGAAAAATGGAACAGTACTAAGCGTTGATATGAGGGGTTATGCCCACTGTACTATTTATAAAAATGTTTAATGAATAAATCCTTTTGGTTACTCTTGTTTGATAATGGTGAACTAAAGTTCCTAAAAAAAATATACTTCTTAATGATGCTGCAGTGCTGAATGACTGCTTAGAGTGATTGTGGAGAGCTACAATGTTGCGAATCCAGAGTCAAGTTATCTTGGCTCTTTGGTTTCCCTAACGACCAGTCATTGCTCACCAGTGTGCGTGACCTACCATCGTTGTGGCTAACATGTAAACTATTTTGGAATTTATTAACAGAACAATACCTTCCACCAAGCCAACATTTAAGAATATTATCAGAGGGGCTGGAGAGATGGCTCAGCGGTTAAGAGCACTGACTGCTCTTGCAGAGGACCCAGGTTTGGTTCCCAGAACCCGCAAGGCAGCTAACAATCATTTGTAACTCCAGTTCTAGGGAATCCGATGCCCTCTTCTGACCTCCACAGGCAGGCACTGCATGGCACAGGTGCACTTACATACATGCAGACAATACATTCATACACATAAAATAAAAATAACAAATAAAATATTTTTTAAAAGAATGTCATCAGAGAGCAGAAACCTATAGGACAGATTTTCCCACTTTGCTATAACTTGCCTACCTGATGTTTCCACCAATGTATTTGAAAAATGCCTTGTTTTATGACTTTCTTTTAATTTTTAACTGAAAACTTCATGAAGTTGTTTCCACGCTGTAACACATTATTTAGGCCAAGCTAAATCTGTGTTCCTGAGCCTTGATTGCTCATATTTAAAGAATAACCTGTCTCTTGTACCTTTTGAGGTGAAAACTCTTACGTTTACAAAAGCTTTGCTTTCAAATGAAACTTCAAATCAACCACATCGGTACAGCATTCAGAAATGTGTGCCAGACCAGTGAGATGGCTCAGTGGGTAAAGATGATTGTTTCACAAGACTGATGACCTGAGTTCCATCCCTGGAAACCATAAAAATCCAGATACAGTGGCTTGCAGCTGTAATCCCAGCACCCCTTCAGGGAAATGAATGGCAGAGACGGGGACTGAGCCTGAAGATCATGGGTCAGTTAGCACAGAGTGTGCTGAGAGACCCTGCTTGAGCAAAGTGGACAGAGACAATCAACTACCAGAAGTTGTCCCCTCACCTTCACGTCCATGCCATGGCTTGTGCACGTAGTTACACACACACACACACACACACACACACACACACACGCACACATGCACGCAAATGTGTGCTATATTGGGATTGCTGGTGTCTTTAATTCAAATACACATTTGAGGAAATCCGACATTTTTAATATTAATTATTCTTCATCCAGAAGTGATACTTCTCCATGATTTTGGGTCTTTGGTGCTATTTTGAAATTAGAATTCTCTCATTCGAGCCCATCTGACTTATTAGAATTCTTCATTCTTTTAAAGTTCATTCTATTATCTAAATGAGAATTTTTATCATTTCTTTTTCAGTTCATTGATGATAGGATTTTATATTCCAGGACAGCAATTTGGTTTTCATCTTCATTATCTTATATTATTTTATAATACATTATTCATCAAATGTCTTTGTTATCCTTAAGATATATAAACTTATCAGTTACTCTCTATGGCATATGTGAAATGTGTGAAATATGTCTATATTGATTATAATGAAATGTAAGGCAACTTCAAAATTTTTAAAAGCCATGCCCAGTGTTTGGTGAGGATGATGGTCTGCGGAAGCTGAGGAAAGAGAGTAGATGTGAACCCATTCTGGAGAGCAATAAACCTCTGTGTGTGCCAAAAATAAATGTTCACAGAAAGCCTTCAGTAAATAATGTCACAATATTAGGGAGTTAGAATGGTTCTCAAAACAGCAGTAAACAGAGGAAAATAAGAATGAGTTAAAACAAGTCCTTAATTTTTAAAAATTAGTAAAGGGCGGGTGCAAGTGATAACGTCTGGGGCACTAAGGCATACAAATGATTAATCATGTACCTGAGATTTAAATAAACTTTGATACATTAATACCCTAAAACTCAACGTGTGTTCCTTTTATGTATTTCATAGAAGACAACTAAAACACTAAAGGAAGAACCAGGTAACAAATTATGCCATCATGAGGATTCACTAGCACTGCTAAGGCTCTATAAACAAATACTATAAAATCTACATACTGTCACCCTCAAGAAGTTTACAGTCTGCTGGTGACTAGAGGCAGAATCCACATGAACAACGAAGGCCAATTTTCTTTGTTTCTATTTATTTTTTGTTTATTAACACATAGTTAAAACTATGACACGGAGAACCAGGCTACAAAAATGTAATCCGTCTTGGCAGAAATTCTCATGAGAACGCATATCTGTGCTTCATCTTCTGCTTATGTGAATTGTGTTTTGCTGGACTGTTCAAGGGAAAGAAAAATGGTTTTCATCAGCCATTTTCCTTCAATTTTCCCAAAGCTCTTCTCATGGCACCAATGACATCGCTGTTCCTCAAGCTGTAAATGAGGGGGTTGAGCATTGGGGTCACGACAGCATAGAAGAGAGCGACCATCTTGTCCTGTTCCACCGAGGATTGGCCCACAGGCCTCATGTATGTAAAGATGGCGGTTCCAAAGCACAGGGAAACCACCATGAGGTGGGAGGCACATGTGCTGAAGGCCTTGTGGCGCCCCTGGGAAGAGCGAATGCGCACAATGGCAGCGACTATGTGAGCGTAGGAGAACAGCACCAGGCAGCAGGGAAACATGATCACCAGGAATCCCGAGAGGGCCACCATGACCTTGTGGAGGGAGATGTCCGCACAGGTCAGCCTCAGCACAGCCAGGATCTCACAGGCAAAGTGGTTAACAACACGGTGACACAAGGGCAACTGGAAGATCATGACTGTCTGCATTAGTGAATTCATGAGACCAGCGGTCAGGCAGCCCGCAGCCAGCCGCAGGCACAGCGCTCCATGCATGATGACCATGTAGTGCAGAGGGTGGCACACTGCCACGTAGCGGTCATAGGCCATGGCGCCCAGCAGGAAGAACTCCGTGCCGCCCATTGCTAGGGAGGTGTACAGCTGCAGCGCACAGCTGTGAAATGAGATGGACTTCAGGGCTGAGAGGAAGTGAACAAGCATCTGGGGGACAGTGCTGCTGCTGTAGCAGATGTCCACAAACGACAGCACAGTGAGGAAGAAGTACATGGGCGTCTGCAGTCGGCTGTCCAGTCTGATGAGGAGGAGGATGAGCAGGTTCCCCAGCACGGTCACCAGATACATGGCCAGAAACAGCACAAAGAGGAAGACCTGCGTGGGCCAGTCACTGGACAACCCCAGCAGGATGAACTCACTCACCCATGTCTGGTTGTCCTTTCCCATGAGCCCTGAGGAACAAACCCAAGTCACACATCAATCAGTGCTACCACAGCACCTAGACAAAGCTTCTCCCTTAAGTGCAGAGGGTTCTATTAAAATGCTTGGACTTTATAGCTACAAAGAGTAACTGTCAAACTTAACTCTCTTCTTTAAATCCGGTTTCTAAGTTGCTTCTGATTTATTTATTTCCCTGTCAGATTCCAGTCTATGTCCCACTTCAGACCTCAGAACCCACAGTGAAGTCACTCAGCATTTATGAACTCATCTGTATTAGCTTACTTTTTCTCCTCCGGATTCTCCAAATATGAAAAATGATGCTCATCTTTCTTCTTTCTATACTTAGAAAATTCGAGTTTAATTTAGAAAATGGCAAGCTCAAATAGCTTTAAAGTTGTGAGGAAATGTCAAAGCCTACATGTCAGAGTTAGTAAAATTAAGAGAATGAATTTAGGCAACTTTGTTCCAGCTTAACACTTTCCAGGTGATTGTCTCTGGGACTGAGAGGACATGAAGAAATAATCCTCAGTATGATGTTCTTCCTCCAGAAGAGTGGCAAAGAAGAGTTCCACAGCAGGATATGCCTGTTGAAACCTAAGTCCAATTCAAATATGCATTAGTTGACATCTCTCATAAATGTAAGACCTACTGCCTGCCACAAACATCAGCTACTAACTAAGGGTCATGGGAATATGGCTGCACATTCTCATTGGATTGTGTTTGCATGTGCAATGACTAGCGAGAGTTCGGAGAGTAACTAGGAAGTGATAGGAACTCACTTGAATGATTGCAGCTATCTCTTACCTACTCCTTTCTTCTCCCACCTTCCTCTCCTGTTTCTCTTTCTTGCCCCAACCCCTCTCTGTTTTTCATTACATATGCCAGGCTGGCTTCCTGTCTAATCTGAACATATGGGCATGTGTCATGACAGCCAGCTACTTTGTCCTTTTTCTCACCTGAAACTCTCAGTCATTCCGATACCTTGCAAACCCATCATCTCTCATCCATGTCCTGTTCTCTCTGAACTGTTACCCAGGCAGCCTGTGGCTAACACTCTAAATGGCTTGAGACAGCCGCAATCATTCCATCTACTGATAGGCATAAACAATCTTTTATATATTGATGTATATAATGTATTATAGATGTATATAATGTATTCATCTCCAATATTTCACCAATCTGATGATGTACTTGCATTTCTGATACTTTAAGCGTGTTGTGCTCAGAAATGCCCTCTTGGGCTTCTCACAACCTTGTGTCTGCATCTTGTTCAAGTCAAGTGGTTTCCAAAAGTCTCATGGACTGAGCAAATTTCCCTCAATATTTCATAAATGATGCCTCTCTAATTGCTATGCCTTTTCATGAAAAAAATCATGAAATTCATATATAGTTTTTCAAACCAGATATGTTTTCTGTTTGTTACCTGTAATGAGGTAATGCCCTGAATGTGAGGTAAGAATCATTCTTGTATACTCATTGTGCTCATGACGGTAAGAGTGGAATGCAGAAAAATGAGACTGGGAAGTTCGGATTGAGGAGAAGACAAAACGTCCATGGACAATTGCCTATGCATCCTAAACCTGCAAAGAAATTATGCTTGAGAAAACAGTCCTGTATGACATAATTTGTGCAAGACACAACAAGGGAGGTGATTAAAGCACCAAAAATTCTTTAATTTTTTAGTGCCTCCAAAGATTAGTAAGTCTCTTTGTAATATTTGTCAGAAAGATGAATCCTATATTTTTATCCCTCATGCAAAAGGGCAAGTTGAAATGCAACAACATTACTGGCAAGCACTGTAGATAGGAATTGCCTCACAGGCAAACGTCAAGGTCGGGGATGTGTCAATGGAACTAGACCTTAATGACTCACTAAAAGTTATAACCCAGCTCTGAGTGATAGAGGGGTGCTCTCTAGTTCTCCTACAGCACAGGAAATAAATCACAGAAAATAATTTTTAGAGTGAAAACATAATTAGGGCTGGAGAGATGGCCCAGTGGTCAGAAGTGCTTACTGCTTTTCCATAGGACCAAAGTTCAGTTCCCAGCACCCACATCAGGAGGCTCAAACTGCCTCTAACTCCAGTTCAGGATGATCCAGCACTCTCCCTGGCCACCACAGTGACAGTGCACATACAGATATGCAGACACACAAACACAATTTTTTTTCTCAAAATCCTGAGAAATAGCTATGCAGTGATAACTACATATAATGATGATTTAATGCATATTATGTTTAATGCAAATAAAGATATTGCTGAAAGTTGTGGCTAACATTAATCTCTTAGAGTTTTATATATTTAACATCTAAAATAATAATAATCACTTAAGTAATTGACAAAGAAATTGTAATTCATGATCTTTGTTAATTTCCCTTAAAGCCTAAGGAAAGTATTGATGGCAGACTGGGGTCGGGGGTGGGAAATATATGGTTACCTACCCTGATTCTGTGTTAGCTTAATATATTTAAGACACTACACCACTCCTTAACAGTCAGTGAACTGACTTTCCAATAATATTTCCCAATAACTATTATGACTTTTTAAAAAAATCTTTGCAAAAAGCCTATATACTCAAATCTTCCCTAGTTCATGGAAAGGAAGAAGGGACGACCACAGGGTAGATATATGACACCAGTAGTAGAATCAATGATTATATAAAAGGAAAACAGTAAAAGCCAAGGACAAAATCATCTAAAATAATTTTTAAATTCTGTACCGAAATATATTCAATCTGGATGCCTGGTGTTTTTCCTCCCAGGTGTATTTGAAAGAATTTGCTCCCCAGTTTGGCTACACAAAATGTGTTTTCTAAGAACAGGTTGTCAAAATTGGCCTGTACCTCTTCAGTAAACAAATTCAGTCCAATCGCCAGGAGCTTCAGCAAGCAGAGAGAGGCTGTGCAGTAAGACCATGGTTTCACACCTCAGTTCCAACCTTCCCTGACTCATCACCAAGACAGGAGCCCAACATTGTCAGGGCACGGAGGAGGGCTGCCCAAGATGTGGGATTTCGAAGAAGCAACTTTCTGTCTCCTCAGAGACAAAATCTCTGCAGGCCAATTACAGTTGTTAGGCTTCTGTTACTTTCTCTTATATCTCTCAACTTTTTCCCATCATTGTTTTAAACTCTTCTTTACGATAATAAGTACAATTTTCTTTTTAAACTGATAGTAGAAGCTGGACTTATGGCTCAGCAGTTAAGAGCACTGGCTGCTCTTGCAGAGGACCCGGGCTTAGTTGCCAGCGCTCACATAGTGGCTAACAACTATCCGTAACTTCAGTTCCAGGGGATTCAACACCCTCTTCTGACCTCCAAAGGCATTGCATGACATGGGTGTACTTACACACATGCAGGCAATACAATCATACACATAAAAAAATCAAATAAAATATTTAACTCTACTTTGCCCCTTTGCTCAGAAATTTGTTTTGTTTTTGTTAGTTTTTATTTAATTTAAAAACTATTTTTATTGATTTGAGAATATTGCACAATGTATTTTGATCATATTCAGACCCTCTCCTCCCTCTTCTTCCCCACCTACTACCCCTCCTGACTTCATGTTCTCTAGTGTTATTTGTCTTTTTTTTTAAGTTCTACTGAATCTAATCTGTGTTTCCACGTGCTCTTGGATGTAAGTCAATTCCTTGGAGTCTGGTCAACCTACCAGGTGACACACCAGTAAGGAAAACTGACTCTCCCTTTCCCAGCAGTTAACAATTATCAATAGATCCTCAGCTAGGGCTGGGGCTTCTTGCTAACCTCCTCCATCCATGCTGATTTTTGTCTGCCTTGCGTTCGCCTGTTGTATACATGCTGACACAAGCACTGTGGGTTCATATGTGCAACTACATGGTGGTGTCCAGACAGCATTGCTTCCTTGTATTTATTGAATACCTCCTGCTCTGACACTCTTTTTGGCCCCTCTTCCTCAGTGGTCCTGAGCTTTGTGAGGAGAGCGTGTGATAAATGTTTCAGTTACAGCTCCACACTCACACAGTGTCAGATATGGACTCCATCTTGTGACGCAAGCCTTAAATCCAACTAGAAAGTGGTTGGTTGCTCCTATAACTTTCTTGCACCAGTGGGTATGTTTTGCCAAGCCCATTGTTATTATAGCTCGCATTGTTCACCATTGGGTAAGGTTGATGATTGACTCTGTCTTTCAGTAATATAGCATCTTCCAGTACTACTAAATTTCCCCAGTCAAGATGAACTTTTGAGGCCAAGACCAGCTGAATTTTTCTTTGTTTGTTCTACTTAGGTATGTAGTGTATTCAGCAACAGTGTCTCGCTGTCAAGTTTTGGGAAGTGACCAAGTGCAAAAGCAACATCCATTGTTTGAGGATCTATGGGAACTCACTGGTCAACAACTCCAAAGGAGGAAGTCCATTCCTGGGATTGAGGTTTTCATTTGCTAGGCCGTGGTGTGTATTAGGGCCACCAAACCCCTATTATAGAGTAACTACATTAACTCTTTTAATATTGTGTATGTATATATTGAAAGAAGCTTCTACAGATTTCCATATGACTTTTTCCAAGAGGACTTTAGTGTTAGTCACGCCCCCCCAACTCGTCTGCCTATCCTCTCATTCCCTCCCCTATTAATCCCCTCTTATTCCATGTGCCCCTTTCCCTATTTATATGACTGCAGTCTATCCCTCCTCCCATGAACCATCCCCCCACCATGGCCACTTACAAGTTTACTGACCTCTATGGATTTTCCAATTGAAACACAGCTATCTAAAAAAATCAAAGCTAGTATCCACCAATGAGAAAGAATGAGTAATACTTAGTTGTCAGGGTCTGGACTACCTCACTTAGGATGATTGTTTCCATTCCATCCATTTGCTTGTGGATTTCATAATTTCATTTTTCTCAACAGCTGAATAATATTCCATGTGTAAAGGTACCACATTTTTATTATCCAGTCATCAGCTAAAGGACATTTACATTGATTTCATTTCCTGGCTATTGTGAATAGGGCAGCAATGAACATGGATGAGCA